CCTCCTCCAACACCCGCGTCCAAAGCCACGCCACTGTTTGCTGGTTTAGGCTTCCTGTTGCTTTCTGTAAAGACCAATACGAGCATATTTAAAATTTTTTTCTCTTCTCTCTTACACAAAGTGTTACATACTGTATGTGTATGTTCTTGGGTCCTTTGCTTTTTTTCCCTGAACAATGTCTCTTGTTAATCACCGAGTAGCAGTTCGTAGAGACGCTGCTGATACACCTTCCTGCAGCTGTGAGGGGACCGCTGCGGGGCGCGTGGCGCAGTTCACTCAACTGACCTCCTGTACTTGGGTGTTTAGGTGGTGCTACACTTTTGAAGTAACCTTGTGTGTGTGTGTGTGTGTGTGTGTGTGTTATTGGAGGTGTAGCTTCAAAGTAGACCAGTGGGTCAAATGAAAAATGCTGACATTGACAAAGTTGTCCCATAGTGTTCATATCTTTTTTTCTCTTTAAAAATTTTATTTATTGATTTTTAGAGAGAGAGAAGGGAGAGAAACATCAGTTTGTTGTCCCACTGATTTATGCATTCATTGGCTGCTTCTTGCACGTGCCCTGATCCGAGACCGAGCCTGCAACCTGGCGTGTCAGGACGATGCTCTAAGCCACTGAGCTACCCAGCCAGGGCCGCTTTTACATTTCCACCAGCAATGCATGAAAATGCCTGCTTCCCCAGTCCACTAATATAATGTGTAGTTAAGCTTATGAGTTTTTGCCAATCTTGGTGGGTAGAATATAGTATCTCATCTATACATATTGCATAATTTTTCTCAGAGTAAAAAACAACAACTTACAAATGAAACAGGAATACTAACCAGGTGAACTGGGGCTCACAAGCACACTACACAGAAGTCTCCACTCAAAGAGGCTGATTACCAGCCAGCGATCCTGGAGGGTGAGCCCTGAAGTGCCTATACCAGAGCCAGACTTTGAAACCTGGCTGAGTCCTATTTATAATGTGCTCTGCCCATTGGAGATCCAACCCATTTGCCTCAAACGGGGTTGTTTTCACAACTGCACTCTCAAACATATATGCCCTTATTTAATTCCTTTAAAATATATATATATATATATATCTTTATTGATTTCAGAGAGAGGAAAGGAGAGGGAGAGAGAGAGATAGAAACATCAATGATGAGAGAGTCATTGATTGGCTGCCTCCTGTTTGCCCCTCACTGGGGATCGAGCCCACAACCCAGGCATGTGCCCTGACCGGGAATCGAACCCCGATCACCTGAATCCTAGGTCAACGCTCAACCGCTGAGCCACGCCCGGCAGGGCCTTATTTAATTCTTTAATAATCTATTTTGGCTTTATTGCCTGAAAAGGTGGAAGAAAATTCCATATTGCCTGTTGGTTCAAATATACTGGCCACTTGGCCTCATCGAATCCCCTGCATGTTCCCCTTTCTGGAAAGACCATGTATTTTACAGAGATTTAAGGGCCTGACTGTATGCTGCGTCTCCAGCCGGAGCTTCTGGGCTGGTCTGGGATGTGCGAGACCTCAGCCTGCCTTTGAGACTTCCCTCCCACTTTCCCCACGGAGCTGATGTGCTAGATCCGGGCTTTCAGGGTATAAAACTGATTCTCAGGAAATTCGATCCATATAAAAGATTTAAACAAAGGATGAATCAGAAGATGGTCATTTGCCACAGAAAACATTTCAGAAGAATATGTCTTTGTTTTGAAAACTTCCTACGTGCATTTCTTTGTATAAAGTTGAACGTATAATGTCCACCCAGAAGAACAATGGCATTCTATTGCGGACGCAGCATTTTTAACTCAAGGTTATGAATGACACTTATCTTTTCATATCAGCCTCGGGGCCAATTTTGTTTTTAGCAGCATCCCACACAGTTGTAGGCTATACGTCGATCATAAGGGTACAAAGCTTAAAAGAGGAGCAGCAGTGTTTCACTAGTGACCACCAGGAATATCTAACAAAAGTAGGAACTCACCATGAACATAAAGTCAGCCAAGCCTAACATAAACTACGCAACAAAAGTGCCAGTTGTAACGTGACCACAACGCAGTATGTTACCTGGTAGCTCATTCTGGAACCACCGGCTGTGTTTCTTTGACAAGGACACGTGACGAAGGTGATGGTGCCTGAGCCTGCCCGGCCCGTGATTACCCAGGACACCCAGGGGCTCCGTGGCTGACTCACGCGGGCAGCAATACCCTGGCCTGCATTCCCAAGCCTACCAGTGTTGCAGAGCTAGAGCCGGCAGTCCAAGCCAATCAGCATTTACAATAAGTTAAACCACAGGCCCAGGTGGTGAGAGAGCAGGGTTTTTTCACGGATCTGCCCCCAACAAGAGATAACTGGTGGATTTGAAAGGACCCAGTTTGTCAACCAAAACAAGTGGTTGAGCATGGGCTTCTAAAATTAATTAATTACAAATTTTATATATATTTGTTGTTGTTTTCCTCACCAGAGGATATTTTTTCCATTGATTTTGAGAGAGAGAGAGTGGGAGGGAGGGAGGGGGCGAGAGAGAAACATTGATGTGAGAGAGACACATCGATTGGTTGCCTCCCCCACGGGGCCTGAGGGGGGCACAGAACTACCCGCAACCCAGGTACGTGCCCTTGACCAGGAATCGAACCCTCGACCCTTCAGTGTGCAGGCAGACTCTCTAACCACTGAGCCACACCAGCCAGGGCAATAAATGTATTTTTAATGACGATAGATACAAGATAGATAGGTAAACAGATAGATGATAGGTAGATTAGATAGATGATAATAGATAGATAGATGATAGATAGATATAGATGATAGATGATGATAGATGATAGATAGATGATAGATGATAGATAGATAGATAGATAGATAGATAGATAGATAGATAGATAGATAGATAGATAGATGATAGATAGATAGATGATAGATAGGCAGACTTTTTTGCTATCTCACAGTGTTCTAGGCCAGGTGGCAAATCTTTACATATATATTCTTTCCAGTGAGCGCCATAACACTCCTACGCCATAGAGAATATTATTAGTCCCATTAGACTTAAAGAAGCTTAGTAACTTGCCTCACAGCCTTCAGCTCTTATGGACGGAATCAAGCCCATGAGTCCAGCTCCAGCTGACCCTCCATTGCTACGTTAGAGGGTTTCCAGTTCTCAGTGCTATTCCCAGCACCTCCCTAATGCTCTCAAGGATGCAAAGAAATTGGGGAATGGTGACAATTGTATGGCAACATTATTTATAAACAAATATCAAAATCCTGATTTAATAATGAAGGGATGATTATTTGCTGCAAACAATTGTTCAAAATAATGTGTGTGTATACATATTTAAAATATCTTCCAGTTTACCAGAAATCAAATCATACATAATTCTTGAAGCTTTAATAAGCCTCATGAATAATGAACTGGGTTTCAGTATTAGCCTATCTTATCTCTGAGCTACGAGCCCAAAGAGTGTAACTTTAGGACAGTGGCAGCCGGCCTCCAGGATGTCCTTCTGTGACCCCTGCCGCCTGGTATTTACCCTCCGTGGGGGCCCCTCCCACATTGTACCAGAGAGGCTCTGTGTCACCAGTAGGCTATGGCAGAAGTAATAGCCGGTCTCTGCTGAGACTAGGTAACAATAGACACCGCAGCTTCCATCTTGGAGCTCTTTCTTTCTTGCAAGAAACCAGTTTCCACATTGAACAACCTGATTGCGTGGCCACACGGTGAGGAACTGAGGCCGCCAGTGAAGCAAACAGCCCGTGAAGAGCAGTCCTCCAGCCGGTAGCATTATGAGGGAGGGACAGCTTGACCGCAACCACAGGGGCCACCCTGAGCCAGCACCACCCAGCTAAGCCACTTGCAGATTCCTAACCTGCTAAATTTTGGAATTGTTTCACAGAAATAGGTAACATTGGACCTCTACATCTAAGCTCAAAAGCTCCTCCCAAACCCACGGAGAAGCACTTACTCATTAACGCAACAGCTATTTATCGAGTGTCTATTCTGTATGTGTCCACTCGGGTTGGGTTGTCAAGAACCTGAGACTATAGCCATGAATGAGATTAGCCAAGTTCCAGCTTTGTAGCGTTCACATTATAATGGAGAGTTATTTATAGTTATTTGCATATTTATCTTATCTTCCTGGCAAGATTACAAAATTCTTAAGGAAAGGAATACTTATTTTTATATTCCCCTAGAATTTAGTACTGTAAGTCTAGTTACTGTGTTGTATTCTCTTTTTTCAAATGTCTGTGATTTGTATCCACGAGAGATTTCAAGACTCTTGAGTGCAGAGGTGTGTGTGTGTATGTGTGCGTCTGTGCGATGACAGAGTGACAGGATCCCCAAACAGACGGTCCCTGGGCTGGGCCCCTATTCCTACTTACCTTGGCTCCCCTTCCACCAGCAGCAGCTGAACCAATAGGATTACAGTGAGAATTTGGGGCTGGAATATTCTTAGGATCACAGCTCTGTCTCCTTTCTCATGGTTCCAACAACAGGCATAGTCTCAGCCTCTCCACAAAAGGTCTGCTTCCCGGGTCTGGTCAAGTGCTCGGCTAATCTTTGCTAAGAAGGGCAGGACTCCTAGAGATAAGGAGAAGTCAAGTCAATATTTAATCTTATCTGTAGGATTACTTGATCTTATGTTAATCACTTCTCTGCAAGTTGCTAAATCGTATCTGTGAAGTTGAGAAAAAGTACTCCGAAAGGTGGTTTTAACGACTAAATGTGTCCCTCTGTATAAGATGCTTAGAACAGGCCTGGCGGGTGAAAGCTGAGACTACACGAGTTGTCACTAATGTAACTAATGTACCAAAAGCTACAGTGTGGCCCCGGCCTCACTGGGCACTTCGACAGTTGTCTCATTTGACTACAGTGTATCCACGTTGCGAGATTCTGAAGCCGATGCTGAAGCGAGATTTGCTGAACAAGCAAGGGAACGAATGGCTCCTCTGCCTCCCCTTCCTCCCTCACCTTCCACCTGGATGCAGTGGGAGCACCGGCTAAGCTGAATTTGGCTTCTTTTCTTGCAGAGTTTTGGAGGTTTTGACCACGTGCTCTGTGTCATGGGCAACATTCCGCCAATCGCAGCGACGTTTGCCTCACTTCTAATCCGCACCCACGTCCTTCACGCCGTGTTCACTCTCCCGAGCGGCATCCTCAGCCCCCTAAGCAGGTGCTGTGTGTGTGGCTTCACTGCCTGTGCCAGAGTTTCAGCTTTCAGACGGGAGAGAAAAGAGAAGTACACGAGGGAGGGAGGGAGGTGGGAGAGAGGCAGCAGGGGACGAGCGGGCAGGGACAAGCTCGGAGGAGACACAGGGCGCTAGCAGGGCTCGCCAGCACGAAGAATTGAACGGGATGTCGCCAGAGCTCGGCTGCCTGCAAATGCCAAATAATAGGACTCGTTTATCGGGAACGCGGGAGCCCTTCGGGAGAGAGGCATAAAGAATGCAGGAAGCACAGGCTCGGAGCCGTTTCCCAGGCAGCTGCAGCCACCCACCTTCCCTCGAACAAATGGAGCCAAATTCGGTCTCAAATGTGCCATTTGCCTTGCCTTTCAAAACAACCCTGAGAGTGGCTGGCAGCTTTTGCTTTCTGCAGGAGGCCGGGGAGGGAAGGCTTAGTGCCGCTCGCAATCTGGCCACTGGAAGCCCTTTAATCCCGCCCGCCCCGCCTCCCAGCCACGACCTGTGTGGTGGCCTCAAGCTCAGTTGTCACTTCAGTGGCTGTGGAACTAGGACGTGGAGCGATCTCTGGGGCAGTTCTTCAACGTTTTGGGGACGGAGTAGCACAAACCCTGTTTTGCTGGCTCCCAGGGCCCTGAGGAGGCTCCCAAAGCCTGGCTTTCCCAGGAATATGAGACAGATCTGGGGAGAAATGACAGTTTGTTCAGATAAATTATAGTGCATCAATATGACAAAGTATCACATAGCCATTAGATGTGGTATGAGAGGGCATAGTTCTGTTGGGAAAGTTCAAGGATAAAATACTCAATGGAAAAAAATTCAAGTTCTCAAAGTAAAGTAAAAATGTGCGTGTTTGGGAGGAAAAATACCAGAATGTTCATTGTGGTCACATCTGGGTGATAGGGTTATGGGTGGTTTTAAATTCCTTCTTTGTCTCTTCTTTCAAATTTTCTATGACGAATACATTAAATTTTAATTATGAAAGGGATATTACTGTGGAATAAAACAGAAATAATAAAGGGGTGCAATGGGCTGACTGGGGGAGAGTAGCGCCGGCTTATTACCCCGGAATTCTCTCTTCCCCTCTCGTCCCACGTCCAGCACAGCGGCCGAGGCCTCACACGCTCACGTCCCGCTGTGCGTATCTCGGGTCCCTGATGGCTTCCGAGCGCCTGTCCTGTTTCCCAGGACGGGGTCTCCCTTCTCCTCTTGGGCACACCCCGCACCTGAGCCGCTAAGCTTAGAGCCGCACACGTCAGGTGAGAGGCGAAGGCCAGCTGGGAGGGCCAGGGCCAGGGTGCGGCCGGGAGCGCGTTGGGTGCTAGGAAGGGGTGAGTCGGCGGCCCCAGGTGAGGGTGGATGATACAAACGCCCCCTCTGCTCACTCCTGACTTTGCATTTCCTACGAGAGAAGCCGGGGGCCCCTGAACCACAGCTTAATTTGAAAGAATTTTCCCTCACCCCCCCCCGCCCACACGCAGACACACAGTCTGCTTCTCGTTAGGACCCCTAGCACCTAGCGTACAACAAGGTAGTGCTCAATAAACACCCTCTCAGTGAACAGAAAACAAAACCCGCCCTCCGTGCAGTGTCATCGCAGACCCGCGCGGGCAGAGCGCCCAGGACGCGGGCAGACCCAGCCTCTGCACGGTGGCCGGGTCCAGGGCCCTCACCAGGGAGGGAGCTCACCAGGGGTCCTGTGGCCAGTGGAGCGGACAGACCCCGGGAAACTCGTCCAGGGCCCGCTGGCTTCCAGGAGCCTGGCAGGGAGCGCCGTCCTGTGTCCTTCCTGCCTGGACCGGAGCGCCTTGCAGGGCGGGGTTGAAAGATTTGGATCGCGCCAGGCAGACGGCAGCAACCAGTGCTGCTTGTTTTGGCTGGACCTGGGGCGCAGGGTGGTTTCGGCACTTGCCTGTCAATGCCTTGCTTGTGACGGACAGCGAGGGTGCGCCCCGGCCACCCCACGTCTTCCTGCTCTTTCCCCCCAGCAGTTTCCTAATTTACATCACCCGAGAGCACCTGCCCTGGCAACCTCTGCTCGCGGGCGCGGTGACTGACACGGGACATGAGAGCAGTGTCGTCACAGCAGCAAACACCTCGTGTGGTCGCTCTGCCAGGTCCTATCCTACCTCCAAGCAGGCCGAGGCCCACACCGCTGGGCGTCTCTGCAGATGCCCCTAAGCCCCGCTCACTAGCGCCGGCGTTTCCTCCCCAGTTTCTGTGTCAGCAAGAGTCTAAGTCAGGCACTTAGCACCCTTTTCCAGGAGACCCATGTCTGAGCCTGCTGGTTTCCAGTCTCCCCGCCCCCCGCCTCTG